ACCATCAACTTAGTTGAGAATTTCTTAGTTGACACAATTAACTATCACAGTTGCCGGCTGATAGTACGATGGTGGATGGATAAGTAGTAAAGAACCTCTCTGAAAAAAACAGCTAGGATGCTAGAATTTAACAGCATGGAGAAGGCCAGATGAAAGGAGAGGGATTCTCACAACCCAGGAAGAAGCTAAGGGAAAATTTAAAAAAAGAAAAGAAAAGAAAAAAACATGGATGGAAGGCTGGAGCCAGACGCACTCTCACTGGGGCCGGTCCAACTTGTGCTCATACTGAAGTCAGGGGTTGGCGAGCCTGAGGACCTTGGTGGGAGGATGCATCACAATGGAGAACTGAGCTGGCATGGACATCTGCACTGGCCCGCTGTGAATACTTGGAATTTGGTCCTCCCACAGGATGGGGAGACTGGTTGGGCAACATCTTGGAATCACTCAGGATGGGCCTGAACTTGGAACTGTAGTGGCTTCAGTTGACTGTTCCTGGTAAGGAGCAGATTGGTGGAAACAGCTTGGACTGGGTCCCCCTCAGAGTTAGGGACAAACTAGCCCCTGAAGTTGTCCTGAACTGGTTCTATCCATGCTGCATACACTAAAGTGGTAAAGACCCCCAGTGTTTGACTGGCTTGGAGGGAAAGGGCAGCAATCTCTAGCCAGCACACTTCAGAGTAACCGTAACCAATACAGAAAGGGCCTGGGACCTCCACTAAACACCTGTCTGAAAAAAACCAGAAACATGACAAGAAAAAGTCTCTAGCCACCAACCCAGGGAATATGGGTCCAGGAGAGGTAAATACAGAAGAGATCGAGAGCAGCAAAAATGCAGTATCAGAAACAGCATCAACTGACATAAAGAAATATCTTCATGACATTATAGGACTTAAATACTAATATAAGTAAAACAAGATATAAGAAAATTAATAAAAGAAATGCTAAGCACCTCTCAAGGAGACACAAATGGAAAAATACAGAAACACAGAAAAAGGGAAACCTTTGATGAAGAATATAAAAAAAAACTCTAGATTTTTCTTGTATTCTAATACATGAAACAGATTCAGAGAGATTACTAGGTAACTAAAAATTCCATTGAAAGGTGGCAAAAATGCTTGAAAGAAACTAAAGATAGACTATCAAAACTTGAAGACAGGTTTGCAGCTAGTGATCGTGAAAGGAAAGATCTCTTAAAAATAAGGAACCAGGAAGTAACAATACAAAGGCTAGAAGACAAGAAGATCAATAACTTAAGAATAAAAAATGTGAGTGAAGAAGCAGGAGTAATCACAAATGAAATACAAAGGCTATTCACAGAAATAATTAAGGAAAACTTTCCAAGCATAGGAAAAGGAAATGATAATTAAATGAGGCATATGGAACTCTAGCCACCTACAATCAAGACAGATCTACACACAGACATATAATAATAATATAAATCCAACATAACAGAATATTAAGAGCTGTCAGAATAAAGAAATAGATCACATATAAAGGAAAACTCATCAAAATCATGATAGACTTCTTGACACAAGCCATCAAATCAAGAGCTTGGAGCAAAGTATTCCAAGCTCTGAAAGAAAATAACCTCCAACCCAGATTGATGTACCCTGAAAAACTATCTCTCAAGGTTAATGGAGAGATAAGATGCTTCCATGACAAAGAGGAACTGTGGGAGTTCATGACCACCAATCCAACCCTACCAAAATTACTGAAGGACATTCTAGAGAGAGAGAGAGGAAAAAAAACCACCAGGGTTTCAGGAACAGTGGCAGAGAGGCCTCAATGAACAGAGCAAACAGTGGAATGAAGGGGAAAAGTAGACAACCAACAGCAGAAAAATAGCATAGCAGAGATGAGGCAGAGAAGGTTAGCTATACTCTCTTAACATAAATGGCCTTGATACACTAACAAAAAGAAACACAGGCAGAGTAGATGAGGAGGTAGGGTCCATTGAGATGCTTTGCATAAGCAATATAATCAAACTGAAAAACGGTTTATGGACTGAAAGTCAAAGATGACAAAATAACGCTTGATGTGACAGGGAACCAGGGAGAAAGAGGGGTAGCTCATCAAGCAGCTGCAGATAGGTTGGAAAGACGTGACACTTCTGTGCAGTGGAGAACTATTCAGGTATAAGGAACCTTGAGGCTTTTGTAGGTATAGGAATACAACTTAAGATCAAGCTCAGGGGTGAAAAGGTTCAGAACTTCGTAGGTAAATAGTGGGTTGCCTCCCTAATCTAAGAACTAAAGCAGGGCCAGGGATTTAGCTCAGTGGCACAAGCACCTTCCTGGCAAGTGTGAGGCTGTGAGTTTGAGCCCCAGTACCAACAAAACTAAAGAAGTTAGTGGGATCCAAAATGTACAGTACACCTTGTGAAAGTAAAGAGAAGAATTGTCTAAAAAAGTAAGGCAGAGGACATTGTTAATAGTGTATCAGGATTTAAAATCCACATTATTCTCATCGCTCTGTTTAGTTTGATTATATTCTGTTCCAGTCTGTCTACTTGTCCTAGACTTGAGGACACAGACAGCTATTTTAAAAATAGCAGGATATACTATGGTAACCATCCTTAATTTCTTATAATCTGAAGCCCTGTATTACACTGTCTTATTATGACTGATCTTATTTGAATTTGGTTTGTTGGATCACTGTCTTGTCTTGACTGACTTTATCCAAATCTGTTATATTTGATACCATCAAGTCTGAGAATATAGGCAACTACTCTGAAGATCACAGATTCACTAGGATACCCATCCTGGTTTGACTGTTACCTGCTTTTGAAGTCCTATAATGTCTCTAATATTTTGTTTTTATTGATACTGTTCTGCACTGCTATTTCAATTTTACTATGCCTGATAATATAGACAATTCTATTGAGGATAACAAGAAACATCATAGTAACCACTGTAGATCACCTTGTATTGTGGTTTTAATCATGTGCTATGTCCACCCTTTTGTTTTGAATGATCCCGTTTTGTGTCCTTTCTCATTTGGTTTTGTTCTTTTCAAAATAAAATTTTAAAAAATTATCACAGTTGCCTATATTTTAAAAAATGAAAATTGTTTTCTCATAGTAAAAAACAAAAGTTAATGTAAAACAAAAACAAATTTAAATACAGTAAACCACAAAGAAGTCATTTCTTAGTTACTTTCTCATTGCCGGAACACAATTCTCAACATTCAGAATTTAAAGGAGGAGAGGTTATAAAAGGCTCACAGTTTGTAGGGGTTTCAGTCCATGGCACGGCAGCAGGAAGCTGAGAATCATTGAGGAGGCATGCACCTCCAGCCAGGCTTCACTTCTCAATGTCACATTCACCTATAAACTCATCAGTGGGCTGATCCACACCTGTAAACCCATCAGTAGGCCAATCCACATCTATATAAACTCATCAGTGAGCTAATCCATATCTATGCACCTGTCAGTGGACTAATCCACACCTGTAAACCCATCAGTGGGCTGATCCACACCTGTAAACCCATCAGTGGACTAATCCGCACCTGTAAATCCATCTGGACTAATCCATACCTGTAAACTCTAACAGTGGAATGATCCACACTTATAAATTCATCAGTGGGCTAATCCACACCTGTAAACCCACCAGTGAGCTAATCCACACTTATAAACTCATCAGTGGACTAATCCACCCCTATAAACCCATCAGTGGGCTAATCCATGATAGGCATCCTGTCCCATGATTCAGTCAGGGACATCTAGATATAAACCATAACAGAGTCACCCAAACGCCCACTACCCAAGGATACTTAGCAGTGCTGTCTTGGTGAATATTCACCCAGTCATCTGCACATTTTCACAAACAGATGTCCTGTTATACAGTCTGCACACAAACATGCTACTGGGGTTGGGGTGCCACTGCACTTGGTCCTGAGGGTACAATGGTTATTGGAATTTTTCTTCTGAAATTTACTGCATGTGCTGTTAATATAGCCATCTCTGCTTTCTTCTGATTAACGTGTGCATGGCTAATGTTTTCTACACTCAGCAGAGAGAAGTGGAGAAAGTGGACTGCCAGCCAGCTCCACCTCCAGCCACCTGGTTCCACCCCATGGGTGCTGATGGGGACAGGAGTAGGGTGAGGGCAGCTTCCTAAGGGCCTCTCTGTGTCCAGGGGGTGGGTCAGAGGACAGGTGACCTACCTTGTCCCATCCTTCCACCTTGTTGATGCCGAGTGAGGTCGAGGCCAGCCCCTGCAGGACTACGTGACACTGCCTTGGTAGGACACTCAGAGCATCTCCTGCTCCCCTGGGTGGAGGGAGGGGGTTCAGCTTTGCCTGGCCCCACAGTGTTACCAGGAGTTTGAAGAGGGATGGGCTGGAGGATCGGCCCCAGGATGGCCCCCGTGTTGTGTTGCACTGGTATTTGGCTTAGGTGAGACAGATGTTGCTGAAGAGTTTTCTGCACTCAGGCCATCGTGCACAGGTTCCCAGCTCTATTCATGAGATGGGCACTGGCACTCTGGAACCTGGCATGTGTCACACACCTCCACCACCTCCCGAGCTGGCTCCAGGCTCACTAAGTGGGTCTGCTGCCCCTTCCCCATCAAATAGTAGACACAGCAGGAAGCAGGTTGTTGTGCTATCTGGGCCCGGCAGTTCCTCTCCAAGGCAGCCACTGCAGGAGCTATTTCTGACGGATGTGCACCGGGGGAGGGTGTTTTAGGGACAGGGCATCTTTAGCATTTTCCTAAACTTTGGCTTTAGCCTCTTGCTGACTGTTTTTCATTGCTCCTCCTCCTCCTCCTGGAGAGTAGCTCCTTGCTGTTAGGCCTTCCTCTGTGTGGTACAGTGATGGAGGGTCTCTGCTTTTCTGGTTGGTTACGCTTGGTCTGGGTCATTCCGAGAGGCATCAGTCACCTTCCACAGAGGAGCTGGAGTGATGAGGAGGCCTAACAAGGTTGAGTCAGGAGCAGGAGGTGGGGCGGTAGAGGAACCTGAGCAGGGCTGTCACTGACATGGTATCGTTGTGCCTCCAGGTTCACCTCAGAGCGATGCCCTGGCTCTCTGTGACGCTGAAGTGAGAGGGGCCGGCGCGGGCCCAGCCCTGGCCGGGCAGCATGACCAAGCCCCGGCTCTTCCGGCTGTGGCTGGCGCTGGGGTCTGTTTTCATGGTTCTGCTCATCATCGTGTACTGGGACAACGTGGGCACTGCCCACTTCTACCTGCACACTACCCTGTCCAGAGCCCACGCGTTGGCGCCCCTGCCCACCCCCGGGCAGGGGGAGGACAAGGAGTTCCCCTCCAATGTGGACGAATTTCTAGATAAGCTGCTCGCTTCTGGTGCAAAGCACGACTTTTCCAAGAAAAAGACCACGCAGCCCACAGTACAGGCCCCCAACAAGCCGGCAGACAGCCGCATGGAGGAGAGCGTGAGGGGCTATGACTGGTCCCCCCAGAACGCTCAGCAGCACCCCGACGCAGGCCGGCAACAGGCCGAGCGGAGGAGCGTGCTGCGCCACTTCTGCGCCAACTCCAGCCTGGCCTTCCCCACCAAGGAGCGCTCCTTCGACGACATCCCCAACTACGAGCTGAACCACCTCATCGTGGACGACCGCCACGGCGTCATCTACTGCTACGTGCCCAAGGTGGCCTGCACCAACTGGAAGCGCGTGATGATCGTGCTGAGCGAGAGCCTGCTGGACCGCGGCGCCCCCTACCGCGACCCGCTGGACATCCCGCGCGAGCGCGTGCACAACAGCAGCGCGCACCTGACCTTCAACAAGTTTTGGCGGCGCTACGGCAGGTTCTCGCGGCACCTCATGAAGATCAAGCTGAAAAAGTACACCAAGTTCCTGTTTGTGCGCGACCCCTTCGTGCGGCTCATCTCGGCCTTCCGCAGCAAGTTCGAGCTGGAGAACGAGGAGTTCTACCGCAAGTTCGCGGCGCCCATGCTGCGGCTCTACGCCAACCGCACCAGCCTGCCCGCCTCGGTGAGCGAGGCCTTCAGCGCCGGCCTCAAGGTCACCTTCGCCAACTTCATCCAGTACCTGCTGGACCCGCACACCGAGAAGCTGGCGCCCTTCAACGAGCACTGGCGGCAGGTGTACCGCCTCTGCCACCCGTGCCAGATAGACTACGACTTCGTGGGGAAGCTGGAGACGCTGGATGCGGACGCCGCCCAGCTGCTGCAGCTGCTCAAGGTGGACGCGCAGGTGCACTTCCCCCCGAGCTACCGGAACAGAACTGCCAGCAGCTGGGAGGAGGACTGGTTCGCCGAGATCCCGCTGGCCTGGCGGTGGCAACTCTACAAACTCTACGAGGCGGACTTTGTTCTCTTTGGCTACCCCAAGCCCGAGCACCTGCTCAGAGGCTGAGGACGCCTCGAAGAGCCGGGCTGGCCGGGTCCCCCGCAGCCCATGGGGGCCTGCCGCGGGTGACATCCGAGGGGGGCTCTAGGACTGCGCCCTGTCTTCTGCTTCCTTGCCTCGTGTGGAGTCACATGCCCTGGTGGAGAGGCTGCCGAGGGTCTGGTCTTGACTTCACGTGTTCCAGGTTTTAAACAAGCTATGGTTTTGCAGTCTGGGCTTGCTGTGCACTCCACAGCCTGTGTTCCCTGAGCACTGTGTTAGTACTGTTTTCTAAGATTAATATATTTCAGATATTTAATATGACAGTGGAGGAAAGCCAGAGTAAATCGTGGCGGCTGCGCTCTCGCTGCTCTGTGGTTCGTCGGGTTGTGCACACGGTGGGTGGAGACAGCAGAAACCCGGAGCCCAGGCCTCGGCGGCCAGTGGAGGAGGCGGTTTCCTGGTGTCTCAGTGGGAGGAGGACCCCAAGTCTGAAAGTAGCCGTTGGAGTCAGTTTTCCGTGGTGGGCTGGGTAATTTATAAAGAAAAGGGGTTTATGACCCCATTGTTTAGAGGCTCAACTTGTGCCACCAACATCACCTGGTCTCTGATGAGGACTTTAGGGCAGAGCCAGCAGCAGGGGTCACATCACAGATGGGAGGCCAGAGCACAACTGGGGTCCCATGGCCCCTTTTGAGGGCATGAGCCCCTCGACCTCAGGACTGCCCCTAGGCCAGCTGTGGAGGATCCAACACATGGATCCCTGGGGCACACGCTCTGCCACAGCACAGGCCTTGCCTGTAGTTTTAGAAGAGTGGCAGGCAAATCCTTTGACAGTGACAGCAGGGTGACTCAGGAGGTCCCTTAAACACCAGGCCACACCCCTCCGCAGGGTGACCTTGCATCCACATGCGAGGCACTGCTGCAGAAATTCCTGCTGTTGGCAGCACACTGACATTGTCTCTTCATTCATAGCATTTGGTCAGCACTGCCCAGCTCCTGGAGTGTTCATAGTGCTCTGGTGGGGCAGCGCAGTGTCCCTGCCTGGCCTGTTTTCAGCTGAGATCAAGGCCTGTGAAGTCTGTGGCTGCTGGGTGACCCTGGACTCAGTCTGCATCATATTGAAAATCACCTTCCTTTGATGGGCTGTTGGAGCAGCTGCCAGCACCATTCCCTCGCCCACCCAGCTCCTCTGCAGGGCCACCACCTAGGCCGAGGGGTGTGGGAGGTGGGCTCTGGGAGAGGGCCAGCCCACTGTCCCGGAGGAAGGGCTTCATTTCCTTCAATTCTCTGCCATGTCTCTGGCCCACAGAGTGTAGTAACCTATATAGAAATTTATCTTTTTTTCCCCCATTAAGAAAAAACTATTTTAAAAATAGTATTGTATGCACCGGGGATAGAGGTCAGCAGCACAGACCTGCCTGGCAAGGGTGAGGTTGTAAGTTTGAGCCCTGTTATCAAAAAAAAAAAAAAAAATAGTATTGCACAGTTAGATAATTTTAACCAATCTCCAAACTTGGAAGACTTTAACTCTATTTGCCTCCATCCTCCAACCTGTGTCACCTCCTGTACCCACAGCTGCAGACTGGTACTGCATCTTGGTACCCAGAAGCCCCTCTGCAGGTTGCCATGGAGCCCCTAGCTGAGCCACAGGGCGGGGCCTGCTGACAGCCAGGGGAGACCTATGCCAGGAGGAGCCTCCGCCCCACCTTGGTGCTGCATCTCCCACCCCGTCTGGCTCTGGCCCAGAGAGCTTGTGGCCAGCCGAGACTCAGACCTGCAGGCAAGGACGTAAGGCAGGGGACCGAGGGGCGTGGCCCTCCGGATGATCCCAGCCCCTGAAGCCAGAGGCATCCACACTTTCCAGCCCTGGGGTCTGAGAAGTATCCACTTGCTTAAGCTAACACCAGTTGGATTTGTGGCATTTAAACAGACAGGATCCTGACTCACACACCGGTCTGTTCATTAATAAGTTGGTGTTTGATAAACTAGGATGGAAGACATTGCATTCATGGAGAGCCAATGACCCCTGAGGGTGCTGGACAGCATTCCCCGGGGCACCGGTGATGTGTTGGCGTTCTGAAGTTGCATAACTATGCAGTCACTGTATCAAGACCCAGGGATGGGGGCAAGGCCCTCACTGGGATTCCAGTTCAGATCAGTGGAGGCTAATTGGGGAGCATGGGAGATTTTCCTCCTCGGGAGTTCTTCTTTCTGCATCACTGAGAGGGAAGCTGGTGAGGATGCAACACCGGTTTGGAGGCCTGGATGACTCAATGTGGCTGTGACAGTAGCGACACGGTTGTATGATGGGGTCTGCTGCTTGCAGTGATGAGTGGACGCAGCCTTCTTTCCTTCTGCTCTTCACATCCTCAGCTGGGGCTGGTGGGAGCCGGCAGTGGGCAGGACTAGTAATGTGCAGAGGTGTGAGAGCTGGGCTTGGGCAGCCCTGGCCAAGGTCTCTGGGCGGAGTGGATCCTAAACTGGGACCTGGACCTGCATGTGGGGGCTGGTTCAGACACACGAGCCCAGGCTGGAGTCAGACCTGTGGCTGGAAGGGCCCTCAGGTGGACAGGGCAGTGCTCAGGCTGATGCTCACCCTGCGGTGCCTGCAGAGGGGCACCTGTGAGCCAGCTGGTGAGCTGGCTTTCTTTACCTGTTACCTGCTTCTGTGGGTGGGAATGCATCAGCGCACAAATGGACTTTGGTGCATGCAAAACTCACAGAAGAAGAGCTTACACTCAGGTCTGTCTGCTAGAATTTAAAGTGCATCCTAGAAACTGGTGCAGTTCTGTCTCCTCCTGCAGTTGTCCTGGGTGGGAGAGAGCCACCAGTGTTCTTGCACTGTTGTTTCTGCAGGGTGTGAGATTGCTGCCTTACACCTGGCCGGGGGTCAGCGTGCAGAAGCACTTCGAAATCCTTGAATTGAGGAGGAGACGCTGTCTTTTTTCCTTCTCTGAACACCAGCTAAAATTCAGTTGTGCCTTTGTGGGTCCTAGACAGTGTTCTGCTTTAAGGTTCAAAGCACGTAGCCCTGTGCTAAGTGAGCACCTAGACCTCACTCCAGGGACCTGGGTCCCTGGAGAATCCTATGGGGAGCAGGCGAGGGCGGTGGAGCCTCATGAGCATCAGGCCCTCCCAGATGTGGAAGGCCGGACAGCTGCTCTTGCACATGTGGAATAGGAACTGGGTAAACTAACATTGGTTAAAATAAAGCCATTAGATTTTATGGTTACATGGCGGGCCCTCCTGTGCAGGGAAGGGATATCTCACAGGAAGAAAGTTGATCCCATAATGATACTTCCTTGGATGAACCAGGGCTGGTAGCAGGGATGCTTCCCCTTGGTGTTCATTTCAGTTCCCAAACTGGTAATATGAGCATCACATAAAGGACACCACTGTGACCAGGTGTAAGGGCACATCGAGGGGCCCTGAGCTCATACACACTGGGGTGCAGCTGTCACTGCGGCCACCCCAGAAATCCCACCTTTCCAACCTGGAACTGTACCCACCGTGCGCTAACTCCTCACACAGCACCCTGGCTCCCGCCACCCTGCTTTTGGCTGTAGAGATCTGACTGCTCTAGGGGCTTCACAGGGGTGGAGTCACAAGGAGTTTGTTCTTTTGTGTCTGCTTGTTTCGCTGACCACAGTGTCCTCAGGTCATCCATGTCACCAGGCATTGCTCACAGTGGCACTCGGTGGCCTTGGAGGAACAAAACATGATGGGTATGAAGGCACCAAATGGCAAATGTGAGCGAGCACAAGGCGAGGTGGGTCCCCAGGCTCGTGTCCTGCAGTCTCAGTCACATGCAGGCCACAAGGGCCCAGTTGGTCCCCAAAAGAGAACATCAGCCTTGGAGGGCTGGTGACTGCTCAGGTGCCTGGTTTGGGAGCGCTGAGGAGAGATCACCAGGTGGGAGAGTTTCTGAGAGGAGTACAGAAAGCAGAAATGCAGGAGCCTCCTAACCTCTGACAGCACCACAGGTGCCCACTGTGCAAGGGAGAACTTGCTCGAGGGCTGCCAGCCATCCTGCCTCCTTAGGAAAATCCAGCTTTGGTGAAACCACATTTATTTCAAGGCAGTTTGTAAAAACTGGGGGTTTAAACAGGGTGTGGTGGCCTACACCTGTAATCCCAGCACTCAGGAGGCTGAGGCAGGAGGATCCACAGGAGTTCAAAGCCAGCCTGGGATGTAGTGAGTTCTAGGCCAGCCTGAATCACATAGAGTGCGACTTTGTCTCAAAAAATAATAAACAGGCTTAAAAAGCACTATGGATGGAATTGTTTGCCATTTCAGTTGGTCTCAGTTGCCAGGAGGTTTTCAGAAGTTTTAGGTTTTGAAACTTGCAGAGTAGCTTTTCAAGTGTCGAGTTTCAAAGTAGGCTGACTTTGAAATGGTTTCTAAAATGTTTGGTTGAAAAACATTCTGGTTCTAAACTGTTCCAGGAATGTCTCCCAGAGCCTAGCGCTACTGCCATGCTGTGCGTGGGGCCTGCTGCCCTGAGCAGGGTGGGTTCATCAGGGAGCTGGGAAACAGCTCCAGACAGATGTTTGTGCCTTCGGAAACCGTTCCAAGGAGGTTGAGGGGAGAGGATCCCTGAGTTTGAGGCCAGCCTAGCCTACAAAATGAATTCAAGGCCTGCCTGAACTGCATAGTGAAACGCTATCTCAAAAAGACAAAATTAAAAACAAAACAAAAGTTCCTGGGGAGTGGAGTTCCTCTCCTTGCCGTCCCTCCAAGTGCATTCTGCAGAAGGTGCTCACCTCTGGGAGGCTGCTGTCCTCCCCGAGACCCCCATTCATCCTGGCCTCAGCCCTCAGGCGTGGCCCTGTTCACAGAAACATCCTCTCCAGGACAAAGTTACTCAGGACTAGGTAAGGGTTTATAAGGAAGGGCAGCCTGCTTGGGAAAAGGCCAGTGGAAACATAGGACAATAGGAGGTTTGTGTAGAGCAGTAGTTCCATTTTCTAGATGGAAAAGTTGAGGCTTAGGCTATGATGGCCTGCTGAGGCCAGATATCCTGGTCCCCAAAGTTTTGAAGGAACCATGCAAGAACACCACCCACAACTGAGGCACTGAGCTCAGACCTTGCCCCAGCCAACTGGCACAGACTGTGTCCTAGTCCAGGCAGGCTCTGGCCTTCTGCAAGAGGCAGCAGGAGGAGCGGACAGGGCAGAGAGGCAGTATGCAGCTGGCCTGCTGACTGCTCTGGATCCCAGCCCACCGATGATGAGAAAATGGAGTTGGCAGAAAGAACCAATAGCCGGAAGCAGCCTGGGGAACGGGTGTGGACACCAGTGTTGGCCTCACTGGCACAGAGG